CCCAAATATTATTTCTAGCAAGGACTCTGTTATACAATAAAGTATTAGCTGTATCTTAATCCAGAGTAAAAAGAGACCTGACATTCATTTTAGAGAAGCAGAGTGTGGAAATAGCCAACTTTCATTTCCTCTTACTTAATCACAGTTTAGGCATTATGAGCACTTTACATGTATTTACTCCTTAATCCTTTGAAGAAGTGCCTATTTTATCCCTATTTTAGAGATGGCAAAGTTGAAGCTTGGAGAGGTTAAATAATTTGTTTAAGCCAACAGAGGAAAGATGCAAAACTGTTTGTCTACTTTCAAAAGACACTAAATCCTATTAAGGTGATTTTTTTCAGAGCTTTTGCTCATTAGAGGTTCATGTTTTTTGTGTATTTTCTATTACTTTTCCAACAACAGGACTCTTAGGGATGTTGGAATCATTTTGTAGTATATTTCAACAATATTAAAGTGAAGTTTTTGCCCCTGTAAACGTTTAAAATACTTGTTCAGGGGCTGGGGATTTAGCTCAGCGGCATAAGCGCCTGTCTTGCAAGCAGGCAGTCATGAGTTCGATCTCTGGTACCGATAAAAAGGAAAAAGAAAAAAAAAATACTTGTTTATGTTATTGAGCACACTGATGTGCCAAGTATCACATATACATTAAACATTTTGCTCATCACAGTAATTTGTGAGTGTGGTAGTGTGATTACTATGATTTGATACAGGAAAGATTTGGCTGCCATCCTTCCCCACTCTGTTTTAGTTCACTGTCTGCAGCACTAATGGTCCTCTTTAACTTATTTAATTGGTTCTTCTTCATCTTCTTGATGAGGAACTTTGGATAGCTCCAGAGCTCAGTCTTGGGGACTCTTTCTTCTCTATCACTCTCCTGAGGTGCTTCATCCAGTTTCATGGTTTTAAAAAGGACCATCTCGGTGATGATGCCTTGTACTGACCTCCAGACTAAAATATCCAACTGTCCACTTACAGTGCCACTGGGATGATTGACAGACATCTCAAGCTTAACAAACCCAAAACTGAACTCTGGTTTTTGATATAAATCTGTTCTTCCCAGTCTTCATTATTTTCTTAAAATGTTAAAATGACTAAATTCAACTTCAGTTAGTGAAACTGTTGTCTTAACACTTTCTTAAACACATCAATGATATTGCAATTATTTATCATCTGAAATTTACTTTAAAAATATCTGATTCTAGGGTTGACATATTGATATTTATGCTGTACACACACAGAGAGCCACACACACTTCCTAGGGGAAAAATATGTACTTGTAATAGTATATGAATAAAGTTATTAAAAGTAAACTCAAAGTCATGAGCATTTTCCACCAGCAAACAAAAAGGTATTTTATATTTTATTTATCTAGGAAATGTATAATGAACTTATAATACTACTACACATCTCTCAAAATGCTTAGAATAAAATGGACAGAGAATACCAAATATTAGTGAAGATGTGAAGTAAAGGAAACTGCAAAGGAAATTATACTAGGAGACATATAATATTTAATAACTACTTATGTGCTAAAGTGGACACCTATTATTTCTGTCTACCTATCATCAACTGCTTTGAGGAACTACTATTTCTCTGTCTCCTTCCTTTGGACACATTCAACACATGTTCTTTCTCACAGGTGTGGAAAATGCACTACATCTCCAGACACAGTGATTAATGTAGTGGTCAGCATTCGCTTCAAGCTAAGTCATTAAGTGTCTTTGACAGAGATTCAGTCTTGTTTCTCTTTCTGTCATCACAAATTCTCAAGACACTGTAGACTTGTGACTGCTAACATTATCTTGCCATGACACAAGGAAGTTCAAGTTCCTTCTCAGACAAGGAAATCTGAGAGACAGAACTGTCATGTAGAATTTCAGTCCAAAGCCAGGATATAAAGTGTTTTATTGAAAAATTCCCATCTATTTAGCTCTAGGAGTGACAGAAGGATATCTGATTACAAGTTTGTAAGTAGTTTTAAGGGGAAGTTAACTATTGAGAGGAGTCTTTACAAAAAATGATACATAAAGTGTTTAACATACAAAAAATTAATATAAATCAGTAACCAGAAAACTAAATGCACTTCAATAAGAAACACAAATATTGGAAAACAAAAGTGGTTAGTATTTACATCGCTGGTATTGTTCACCTGCTTTAGAAATCTTTAAAAAATCAAATATAAGTAATTTTCTCCTACTAAATAAAACATCTTAAAATCATAATATTCAGTGTTGATAAATTCTATAGAGATATGTACACTTCAAACAGTAATACAAAAGACAAACATCTGGATAAAAACCCAGTTATTTATGATAGCAATGTACTGGGAAATGGTTGAATAAATGCACAATTTACTTTGGGGTGTGATTACATTGTAAAAATTGATATTAAATGGTATTCCAAATCGATGTGGCTAATTGTCCCAACTCTGCTTGCATATTTGCAGTGGTCTGCTTCTAGGCATTCTATCCTCTTCTATTTGTCTCTTTATTACAACACATTAATATTACTGGACTTGAAGGGACAATTGAGAATGAGTCTTGATATTAGGTAGGAAAAGATGTTTGTCCTTCATATTATTTCAACAACATTTTGGCTATTTTTCCCTTCTCCATTTTTCTAAAGTATTTTAGAAACATTTTATTCCAAAGATCTTTCCTTAAGATTCTGAATACAACTGAGTTAATGAACACATTTGAGAGAAATGACATCTTTAAGGTAATGATGCTTTGCATTGGAAAAAATCATATATGACTTCAGATATTTGAGTGTTATTTTATATGGATGTATATAAGTATACATATCTATATTATCTATAATAGATTCATATGACTTTTGTTAGATCAACTTCTTAAAGCAGTCGTGGTAAGCCTGTGGCACACCTGCCACAGTGGACTGTCTGTATCACTGAAAGCTCTAAAAGGTTCATCATCATTGCCTTAGGGGAACATTCTGATCTTATTGCTATTATAAATGTGTTTTTAAAAGTTCACTTTTGGGTTTTGATAGAGAAAGGCATCTAATTTTGTATGCTTATCTTATTTCCAACAATCTTTAGGAACTAAATGAGTTTTCATCTTTCCCTTACAGTAAGGGGCTGGCTAGAAACTCTGGAGTGTGAAATTGGCAGATATAATTCAGAATGTAAGTGTGGGTTGAGAAGAAGGCACATATGTGGGTCACCCCCAACCCCTCCTAACCCTGGAAAAGTGGAAACACAATGTGTTCCCTCTGGAATGCCGCCCATCCCAGTGCGGAAGCTTTGTCTCTCCAGCTCAGGTCCTCAGACCATTGCTGTCTCTGTCTAGGAGCTGGCTCTTGTAAGCTTTGGTTTCTATCCTCTCACCTCTTTACCGATTAACCTACTTTAAGCAGCTGTTAATCTTTACTAATGTCTACCCTTATTCCCTATAACAGAATCCTGTCCATATCCATTATGGTAAGGATCACACTTTTTGAGTGTATGGTTATGTTCTTACTGTCTCTTACTTTAGAAGTATTTGGTAATGTTTATTGTCTCTTCTTTCCATCCATGCAATCCTCAAAAAAGGAAGTACAAGGTCTTTTTTTTGATACTTCCCGCTTAGCTTAAAAAATGCTTTAAACTGAATGAGTTAAATATGTCAAACATTTGTTTGAATTTTTAGTGTTGATATACCATTTGATTCATCATTAAAAATCTTACTCGTGGGCCAGGGATTTAGTTCAGCAGTACAAGCACCTGCCTGTCAAGTGCGAGGTCATGAGTTTGATCCTCAATACAAAAAAAAAAAAAAAAAAAAAAAGAGAAAGATCATACCTGTATATTCTTGTGTTATTTGTTTAGTTACCTTTTAAAATAGGTATTGCTAGTCTCCATTTGACAAATAAGGCATAGTGTTCAAATCAAGTCACATGGTTTAAATCAGTAGGTGGAAATCAGTAAAGTTAAAAACAACCCAATCCTTTACCAATATTTAATTCAAATATCATATATAAAAAAACTAGAGAAAGAAAAGTGGGAAGGAGATAGAAAAGAAAGAAGTCAGGGCAAAAGAAAGGAGGAAAATAGAAGAGGGAATATTCATTGGTGCGTCTCCATGTCACGATCATACCATATAATCTGTCATGCTAAAGCCCTTACACTTCATACTTCAAGCTCATTAGGAAACTTCACGTCTTGCTAGGATATTTGAAGACAGCAAATTGATTAAGAGTCCTCGCAAATGACATTGCTATACATGAATTGTAAGGAGTAGGAAATAAAGGGGCTACATTTTATTACATAAAACTGGCTTCCAAAGCCATGTAACACAATCAAGTCTGATAATTGTGAGGAGTATCTTCAACATGTTTTCAATTTCAATTTCTAGTTCCTTCATTCTTTCCTGATTTTCTGGCTTTTACAATATTATAGAAAAATCTGGCTCTTCAAACATTTAAAAGCCAAATGACAGAACATCTTGTGAGTTTTATTAGAGATATGAGTGTAAAATAGTTACTATTATAATAAATTTGTAAGGACAAAAATACGGCACTTACATTTTAATTTTAACCAATAGCACTATGAATGATGAAATAAATGGTCATTTCTATTAGCTCTTATTATCTGACTGTACACTGTGAAGTTACAAGAAGGAAAGAAATCCCCTACTGCTTCAAGTCTCCAGGTAGTAAAAGAAAAAGTAGCAGTCTTAAAGTTAATAACACTATTTTTGAGATTTAGAGGAGAAAAACACTTTACTGCCAAAGAGTAATCCATACAGAGGAGCTGATTGCTAGGTGAAACACTCTGTCGGAATAAGACTTTATAATAGAACGTATCGACATGAGAGCTCCACACTGTTGAAAAGTACCACTCAACTCTTCCTGAACTCAAACAGAGTGGAAATGATATAGTATTGATGAGATTTTGTCTGCTTTAGGAGGGCAGAAAAAATACATACTTAATCCAAAGTGTTTATCCAGGAGGAATAGTGACATGACCTGAGAGAAACAGCCACCCCAGGACTCCAACATACCCATAACTGAGACATCATATTCTATCAGCAGTGTTGCTTCTTGTCCACATTGTTTTAGAATACTCATGGCTTCAGCATGTGTGGTCCCAAGGAGCCGAATTCCATCCACACTGAGCAATCTGTCACCAGGTTTGATTGTACCCTCTCTAAAGGGAGCATAAAGGAAGTCTTTAGTAATTTATAATAATGAGGCTTAGAATTATTATTTAGTCAGTCATTCTTACACACATTCTGCAATCCATCCTATTTGTATTCTTCCTAAGCATCAAGTATAAGAGCACAAAGACTAACCCTGAATAGAAAATTATCATAATGAAAAAATTAGTAGCAAGAAAATAACTACGTATTAGCAAGTAACCTAGTTATCCACAACAAACTCGTGGAGACAAAGGTAAGAAAGGCATATTTTTATCTGAAAGTCTAAAATTGATTTGTTTAAGCCCAGGAAAAAGCACTCACATGTTTTTCCAAAGACAGGTGGGCAAAAAGCTTTCTAATTTCACTCAATTTATTACCAGTGAACCAAAGCAGAATACATCGAGCTGGTGAGAAATGCCCCTACCCTGTGAATTTCCCTACTGATTTTTAACGACATTTAGCAATCATTAAATTGATTCAGTCTCACATTCCTTGGAAGAAGCAGGCAGATAGTGTTGTCCCTGCTGTGACCAAGGAGCCTAAAGGCATTGGGAAATCAGGACTCAGAACATTAGTGGCACTTGGAGGTAGGGTCAGGGTGTCTTCTAGACTCCAATGTCCCTGCATGGAAGGGCGTGGAGAAGTCAAATGGAAGGCTCCCAGATTTAGGATTTGAAGAGAAACGCAAACGGTCTCTTAAATAAAGATCTTTTGCTCAAATAACTAAGTATTTTGACTCCAAAATTTTATCTCTAATGTTCAGATTTTGTTAAATTCTAAATTAATTTGATCATACATTACTCACAAGCCCATACTCTATTTCGACATGCCTGTTAATCCTAACCCTAAATGTTAGTAAGAAATTGATATGTTTTATTTTATCAGAAAGAGTAATTCTTAAAACAAACATGAAGAGGAAAGGCAAGATTCACCTGAAAGTGTCTGATTCTGTGTAATCCCTTTGCAAAGGCAAATAAACTTCAGTGCATGTGAGAACCTGTGCCTCCTTGTCCTTTCCTAAATGTGATCTAACAGTATAAACTTTGGAAGAAAATAAACCTGAGTCTTTGAATCCTAATTCTACCTCACAGCTGATACTGAGTGACTTAGCCATTCTGGTCTTTTATTTGTCATGTGTAAGACAATATAAAAAGTCTTTACAGGGTGCCTGTAAAGCTAAAATGAGATAATGCTAGCTTAGGAGTGCGGTTCCTGGCACATAGTACATATTTATTAAATATGATTTGCTATTATTATTTCTATCTCTTAAAAATGCTTAGAATGTATCCTGGTAGTGAAATAAAAAAAGTAAGCCATATATTTTCTTTCTACCATTCGACAATATTAATGGCAGAATTTGAAGTTGTAGTCCATCCCTGAGTTGAAATTTTTTTGATAAAGTAATATACTGTATAGAGAAATGTGTCTCCAGTAAAGTCAACGTGTGAGTTTACCTGGGAACAATTTATGTTAGGAAACCTGAAAGTGTTTGTCACTCACATACTCATATTTTCAAAGAAGAGAAATGAAAGGAAATAAAAATTGATAAATTCCTTCCATTTTAATAAAAGCCTTTTCCATTCTGACATTTGTAAGCTGTCGTCAACAGGTAATATTAATTTTGACAAGGATGCTAGGTATTAAGAATCAGACCACTGCCACCTGTCTTCCCACACTGGGAAGCCAGCAGATGAACAAGGCGCACTTTAAGAGCCTTCTTTGAAAGAGCTAGTTGCCTTTCATAAGTGCCTCCTCCAACCTTTGATAAAAGTGAACAATAAAGCAAGAAAAAGCAAACCATGAGGTCAGTCTACAATGGAGGAAAATTGAGCTCAGAATTAAATTGCTTGCCAAACATAATTTAGAATCTAGAGGCAGACCTCTTATTTTTAAAAATTTTATAGCCTAAAAATTTTAGTTTTCACATAGCAATACATTTACCTAATATCTTCCTTTTACTAAAGATTTATAAACCAATTTCTCTATCAAAGTCCCCAGCTCTATTAGATATGTTTTGGTGAGTTACACAGAGAGATGAAGTTTACCTGTCAGCAGGCCCTCCGGGACGAACACATGTTATCACAACCGGACGAGACTTATTTCTATCATCATGTGCTCCCCCTAGCAAAGAAAATAACACAGCTTCAAAACACTTTCATTATTGCCATTTAAAAACATCACTTAGAATATGCCAGCGGAGAAGCTGCAGTACATTTGTTGACGTATGTAGGGAGATGGGTAAAATTTACTTCTGGCTTACAATAGCTAATGGTCTTAAAGATCTCACTTCATGTAGAGTATATTTTGGAATCACTATTTGTTCACCTCTCGACAAACATACAGTTGCAATCTCGTGATATATAAAACATTTAGCAACTGGTATGGCAAGAGAAAAACTAATTACAACTTCTGGAGAATTGGTTTAGAAAATAGTGGAGGCTGAAGCCAGCAAAAAATCTTTCCACAATTCTGATTCACAGGCTTGATTTTAAATATAAAACACTGAGGGCATATTAAAATGTGAGATTCTTAATGTGATAACTTATCATTATTTGAAATAATAAAGAAGTGTAGCGTGTGAGTCACATAGGTGCTAGAAGTTGGAAGCTGTAAAGCAAAACAGAAACCCCTCAAAGATCTGTGATAGTCTTGATCTTAATAATTCATACTAACATTATCTAAGATGCCTTATAAACATATCAGTGCTTAAGGGAGCAATGTAGCTCACTGGTAGTGTATATGCTTAGCACGCATGAGGCCTTGGATTCAATATTCAGGACCAGAAAAAAACATCAATGCCAGGGTTATTATATAGGCCAAAACTGTGTGTTTGGTACTAAGAGAGTAGAATTCATTACAATTTTACAGTTGAGAATGACTGAAGTTTTGTTGTCCAAAGTGAAAAGCGCACTTAGTGGCAGAGAATGCTCCTCTTAGCCTGATTCATTTCCTTTGATGGCAAGGAACAAACTGAAATGTAATTCTCCAAGACTTAGGCCAAAGCACCATATTCATTCTATTGTAAATGGGTACTATTTGGGGAGTCAAGATTTCAGAACCTGTCACTTGCAGCAGTAGAAATGCAATTCCATTCACTAGGTGAAAGCTTGTTTTAATGCTCAAAATTATAGATTAACAGGTTAAAAGAAGAAATTTTTCAGTACTCAGTGGACATATTCCATTAGCAGTATTTGCTCCTCTTCTCTGACTTTGTCTTGTATTCTCCATTGACCTAAATTCAGCTCACATCGTATGTATGCCAAAATGTCTTACTAGGTATGCTGACATTTACCCAAAGTACCTTCTCATTCTGATTACCCACTGATTCTTAAGGGATGGGCAGTGGGCCATCTGTTGAGTAGGGAAAATCTAGAGATGGTCCCCAAACTGATCTAAATATGCAAGCCATCTTTGATTCACACTGAAAAAAATCATGTAAAATTCATCAAGCTTTATGTATGTAATGAGTGAAGAACATTATCAAAGACTACAACATTGTGGTATTCATAAACTAAGATTATGTCATTTTTACTAAGGTTTTAAAATCAGTAATGTCAAGTCTGATGCTTACACAAATCTAAGCAACCTTCAACTAATTATTTGTATATTCATTTATTAGGGGCCACCCATATTCCAGACAGTATTCTAAGCTCATATTAAAAATTCCTGCATGTGCACATAGATATTTGAAATTCTTGCGATTTGTGGGAAGTACATTTTGGTAATATCACATCAGTTGTGTTGTGATAACTGTAGAAATGATTGTTTCTATCCTTTTTATCATTAAATGATAAATTGGGATTGGTTTAGCTGTTTCAAAGCAATTTGATTTGATTTTAGCTGTATAGTAACTAGGGATGAATACGACAGCATTAATTTTTTTTTGCTGCAGCTTTCAATAATTAGGACTCTGCATGTATTATGCAAGAACACTTTTCCTTTGCATTTATACTGCAAAAACATATTTGCGTTACCACTTTCAATCTAAATTATTTGTACTGTGACTTTTATTACATTTATTTTTTATATAGAATTTTGGGAATGGTTATGGGCAACGATTTTTGGAATCTTTTGTTCCTCTTCTTTAATTCTTCCTTTTTATTGGTACATGTTTGCAATACGTGATTACATTCATTGTGGGGAGTTAGTACACGTATATAACACATCTGAACTCTTTTTCATCTTCTTTCCCTTTCCCTCCCACTACCCTTCCTCCATCTCTTGGTTCACTTCTCTTTTATAAAAGCTCTATCTCCTCTGTGCTCTTCTTAAAAATAGGCCATGGCGAGAAAAACTTCTCATCTAAGACACACAATGAGTTTTTAGCTTTCCATTCTTTCTGTGACTCATTTGGGCTCTTTATCAACTTGTATCTTAAATTTGCTGGATTTGCATTCTCTATAGATAGAGATCTTAATGATTCCACAGCACTTACTCCTATGCTGATATATTGATTCGTGCTAATATGTATTTGACTAATTTGCTAAACAATTGACCCAGAAATCTAACATCTATTTATTTTATTAGCCTATATTTATGATACATTATTAACACATTCATCATGGAGAATTGATGCATATACAAACTGCATTTTGATCTTTTATTTCCCCTTACTTCCTGTCAGATCCCCTGTATCTCGGAATTTCCTTCTCATCTCTTTGTTTCTCATCCTGTATCTGTTGCCTTATTTCTCATCATCTATTTTTTATTTTGCTTATCATACAAGAGAAACTACACAATGTTTAATCTTCTGTAATTGGTTTTTAAAGCTTGGTCACTTAAGACAACTTTTACAAAAAAAGACAACCTTTACATGTGAAAACATCTCTTTTAGTCTGTGATGCATGTATGTTTATGAAGATGCTTCTCTGATGTATATATATATATATATATATATATATATATATATATGTGTGTGTGTGTGTGTTTGTGTGTGTGTATATATTTGATAGGATGCTTAATTAATGTTAATTAGTGTTTTAATAATTCAGATAGGCTTTTTTGGTGAAGTACAAAATATAGGTTAAAAAAATTAAAAAAAATGTGTAATGTTAAAACAATTTCTGATGCTTATATAGATTCCAATTGAATCCCATTGTCATAATAAGAATTCAGAGTTGTTAATGCAAGCATGGTCTTGCAGGCATAAAATTTCTAGTAAGAAAAACCAAATAAGAAAAGTCAGAATCACAGCTTAGAATCAAAGGTTTTGTAGACAAGCTGGAGTCACTTGAAATCTTTATTACCATGCTGCAATAAGATGTATTGAGCTGATTCACATAGGTATCCAGGGGATTAGATTATCTTTGATCCATTTTTAGAAAGCTGCAATAACAAAATGCATTTCAGGAGAAATTAATATAAACAAAGTTGCTTAATCTTTGTGTATTAAATCAAATCAAGCCATATTAATCAACATTTTTGATTCAATGATATAAAAAGGAAGAGTAAAAGACATGCTGAAAAGTAACAAATCAGCAAGACTATTGTCAATTGACAAGATTTACAAACGACAGCTCCTTGCTTTGTTGTAACATGCAGAAAATAAAGCTGGTCATTACTTTTGTATGTTGACTCCCATTCATTGTTCTATTTATTTAAAGACAAGTAGATGGAAATATCAAAAGGTGACTTATGTAAAGGAAATATCAGTTTTTTAAGGATGATGTTCTTGTTTCGTCTCAATATTTAATTGACAAATTCTCCAAGAGTTTCTGATGGTTCATATTGTTTTAACCATCACCTACCTCGTATTACAAAACCAAAGGTATTTCCTTCTTTATGTAATGTGACCTCCACTGTTCGGAAAATAACACTTGATCCTTGCACAGCTAAATATAAAATAAAGAGAGAGAGAAATATAAAATTTAAGTTATAATAACATTTCTCAATGTTTCATTGTGGCATAGAATATTACTGGTTCTTCTTGCAAATATTTTTTTGAGAAATAAGAAAACAATGATTCTAGCAAAACATTAGAAAATATTTGTTATCACATAAATACCATAAAGTAATTATCTATATAAGTGACTTACGTGGTCCAAAAGGAACCCAAATTTCATAGCCAGTTACTTTTCTTCAGTGCAGAGAATTTCCAAACAGAGAGTGATATTTACATTGTTTAAGCTCTACACAGCAAGAGGGATAATCTTCAATAAATAGAATTGTTTTCCCTTTGTGAAATGCAAAAACTGTGATTTTTGGAGAAGTTATGAAATAACTTCTATATTTATTTTATTTATTTTGTACTGGGAATTGAACTCACGACCTTGCTCTTACCAAGCAAGCACTTGAACTGCCGAGCTAAATCCCAGCTCTGTATTTATTTTTATTTTATAGGGGGCATGGGAAGAGAAAGTATTATTCTAGATTGCTATCAACAGATTAGGCTGATAGAAGTAGATGCTCTGCCATAAATAGTTATTAAACAATGACATCAGCAACTCAAATGAAACATGGAGAGTGAAACATTTGAAGCACATTCAAAATATTACTATTAAGAAAATGAGGATCTGCTTAGTTTTAGTTGATATCACCACCCGTGTGTTGTTTGCCTGTTTATTGTTCTCCTTTCACAAAATGCAATTTCATTACTAAGCTGTAATTTCCACATTATGCACATATATGAGGGTATAAATTATGTGCTGGCAGCATTACTAAGATATTTTGCAATACTGCTTTTGGGACTAGTAATTCTGATTGCATATACATTACTGCACTGGAAAAAAATTTCTGCAAATTGGTATTTTATCATTATGAAGACAGATTTGTTTATATTCACAGAGATAAAAGATTTATGATGTATAGAAGTAAACAGTTTCAGATCATTTTTTTTGAATTTGTACAATGATATCTAGTATCAATTGATTATCAATAATATTTTCCATTGTTACTAGATCCTAAAGGTTTCTTATATAAAGCTGCCAACAAAAAAATATATGGTCCCTCATTTGTGATGACTCAGAATTCAATATTTTTGCTTAAATGACAGTGTGCAAGCATACTACCATTGTTTCTTACTTCCAGTGTACAGCACATGAGATCTTCACTAGGTTCTGCATTATTTGATTTTAGCTAATGTAAGTGTTCTGACTATTTCATTAGGGTAGATAAATTAAAAGTATTTTTAACTAATAATATTTTCAACTTAACAAAGGGCTTAGTGAGACATGAGCCCATAATAAGTCCAGGAATATTTGTATATAACATTTAAAGAAATCTTTAAAAAGTACTTTCTTCCCATTTACAGAAATAGCTAGTGGTTTTAATTAAGCATTAATTGCAATTAATTTTAATTATCAGATAATCAGAGCTCTCAAACGGATACTAAAAAAATGATTATGCAAAGCATGTTTAAATTCACAAAATGGCACACTCCTAGGCTAGGAGGTATAATACAGTGAAAGCTTGCATCTACTGAAAACAACATAAAACTACAGCTGAGCAAATGTTTTGGTATGCTGCTGATTTAATTAAATGTCATATTCTTGCTATCAGGGGAATTTTTCAGTTTATTCTAATCAACCAGAAACAGTACATACAAACAACTGAAAGAGGCTGAGGTATAGTTTTAATTAAATGAAAACTAAAATTGGGTTCAAATCAAATGTTTGCCTATTTCTGCGACCCAAAAAGCCACTTGAGAAAATTGGTTTTAAAAAAGTTATTTTTGTTTCGTAAATGAAGAAAAGCAAAGGATATGAGAAATAACTGATGAGCATCTACTGTGTGCCCAGCACTCTAAAAAGTGGTTTGCAAATACTATTTAATTGTTAAATCATCTTTCAATTATATACAACTGAATTCTAATTCTGGACCATCTGTCCTTGCTGACTAGATGTCTGTTCTGGGAATGCAAAGTACTATAATTTTAATTTTGCTGTAGCTAAATCTTGCTGACCATAAAATCTTATAATCAAATGTAAGTCATTATAAAGACTTTCGGGATTATCTGCAGCTTAGTTTGTTCATAGTATTGCCAACACTTACAATGATAAATGTGAATGTTGTGCATTTTAATATAATTAATGAAACAAATTTGATCTTCATAGATTTTATTTGCATGACTGACTTGTTAACTAGATTGTCACACCCAGTACCAGACATTCTGTATCAGCCATCCGAATGCTACTCACTAGTTCACTTGTATGTTTATGAATCTAAAGGTACAATCAGAGGCTTACCTGGAGAATCAAAGAGCTAGGAAAAATCAATTTCATAAAGCAAAACTCCTTAAGATTTTAGTTGTACTCTTGACCCCTGTTTCTATATGTGAATATGCATGCAGCTCTGTACAGTTATTTTACTATGGTGAAGTAGGTTATTCCAGCTTAAGATAGTATTTCCCTGTCTTCTTCTTGTACTGCCCCATCCCCCAGGAATACAGGAGTTACTCAACTGAGCACTTTCCTACCTCTTTATGGTATACGTGCCCATCTGTCTGGTTTTTGTAACTGTGAGGCTAAGAGATGTACGTAAAAGATGGGAATATGGTCAGGCTTGTCTCTTCTTCCCTGTGTCACAGGAAGAGCTTTCCCTGGAAAGTGCTCCTTTAGATTCAGTCGCAGAATGAACCATGTAGCTGAAACAAACCTTAAACTGCCCCTTTTTCCTTTTCTATCACCATCACTACCACCACCATCAACATCACCATCATTATATCATCTGTCTGTCAGAATTGAGAAAAAGGTTTTCCAATGACATGCTTTGATAGTCACTTCTGAATTAACAAGTGGCCTCAAAATTTGAGGACACTATTCTGTACTACTTTTAATGCATAAACACCTAACTCACAGTTTGGATATATTTTTTCTGGAAACAGTCTCAAAGCATTACCTAATTTTAAAGGAAAAAGAACTATTGACCTCATGGAGAATAACCATGCCATTTTCATGAAGAAATTGAATCTTAGACAAGTGATTGGCCAAAATCAAATTGTAACTTTTTCTCTGTTGGATCATAGACACATCCTTCCAAATTCTTGGGTTGGCTGAGCCTCCAGTTGCTATGATCTGGAGACACTGACAGGTTTTGGCCTTGGGCAGCTTATTTTAGCGATCAGTTCTACCTGGACCTCAGGTGAGATGGTCTGTTTTTCTGTAGCAGAAGGGTGAGGGGGATTGTTAATCCTTTCAACCTCTTTGAACTCAAAAATCTTATTAATTTCCCCAAACATAATAAAAAAAAAGGAAGAGATCACCCTTGGAGAGTAGACTTTTTCTACTTGATTTCTACCATAAAAATTCATATTCCTGTGTTTAACATTTTGTTTTCTCCCTTTCCACCAGCTTTACAGCACAAAGAAGAAAAAAACTGGCATAATCACCAAGTGAAAAATAGGTTTTTACTCCAGAATATTTTTCAGATCCATCCTCCTTAACTCTACTAATGCTACATTGACTTACATTATCACCCCTGTTTTGGAAAACTGTAACAGTTTAAAGGCTTATAGCCTCTGATCTATTCTCCCTTTGGCCTTCAAAATGATAATGTAAAAGTTCCGAACTTATGACACAGTTTTAAAAGCTTCTAAGGGTTCCATATTGCTCTTTGATATCATCCAAGTTTTTCCATACAACAATTCATTTCCTGTTTACCTCACTGGCCTCATCCTTATCATGACTTCTTTGCCTCTTCCAGGCTGTGCAGTTTAACTCTATACACTGGACCGCATCATCTGACCTTGATACTACACCTCTGCATGGAATGCTCCTCTTTCTATTTGACCTGTGCTATCTTCAAGTCTTCTCAAAAACACCCAGCTCCGAATCCCCCATAGTACTGAGCAAACCTCTGCTACAGGGCCACCTCAATGGCTACACTAAGAGCTCCTTTCAGACGAAGTTCTGTTTTACTAATATTTACATACTCAGTTCAATGCAAATCCATAATCAAGGAACATTAGCTCTAGATATCTGGTTCTTTTAACTTCCTGGCAATGGTTTCAGGGAGTAATTTCAAAGCAAACTATTGCAAAGTTTAGGGAAAAATCACTTTGAACATAACAATAATAATGGTAATAATGATTAATATTATTAATTACTTACCAAATATGTGATAATCATCTAAACAATCATTACGTGGGTAGAGTAATGAATGGTATCCTTACAAACATCCTACAATAACAGTAGCCATTTTATATGTAAGAAAGGTTTAGAGAATTTAACACATGTAAGCTAGAAAAACAAAGTTGACATTTAACTGGTGAAATAGTCTAAGCCTAACATATTTTACAGGCCTACTACTGCTCAAAATGAAAGATGTTTAGCAAAGTTTTTAAATATAGACTTAAATTAACTTCATATAAATGAGTACTACATTTTTACTTCCATTTTATGTAAAGAATAGAAACTTGTGCTTGGCTGCAGACATATTCTCTGAGTGCTCTATACTTAGCCTCTAGCTTTAAATACTATCGGCATTCTTGTTAATTTCAGTTTACATTTCCATCCCAGACCTTTTTCCTAAACTGAAAACCATACCTTTAATTTTTGGTATTTGCCTGTAAACGTCAAATATACATTTCAAATGGTGACCAACCCTGTCCCTCTAACGGCAACTCCAGTATTCCAGTTTCTCAGACTTAAAATCTTGGGGTTATCCTTAACTCCTTTATTTACAGACCAGCCATATCAAATCCATTTGAAAATTTGATGGGCTTTGTCTTCAAAACAGATCCAGAGTCCTCTGACTTCTGTTAACCACCCCCACCACATCACTCTTGGGTCACTGCAGTTACCTCCCAACTTGTCTTTCACCTTTGACCCTTGTCCCCTTAAGTCGGTTCACAGCAACCAGAGAGATTTAGGAAAACATAAATCAGAGTATATTTTCCCTCTGTTCTATACAACAGAATGGATCTCTACCCCACTCAGAACAAAACTTAAGGTCTTCCCAGAGGCCTGTCAGGAAGTTCCCACCGTTTCCATATCTGACCTTGTTGGTCATTCTGCTCCAGCCACACTTCCCTATTTAATGTTCCTAGAATGGCCCCAGGAAGTTATCTCCCTACCTCCTTCAAGTGGTGGACAAATATTGCCTCTCAATTGTTGCTTTGTTCCTAATTAAAACTGTCCTTCATTCCTAATTCTTCTCCTTACTCTGATTTATTTTTATTTATCATTCATGACCTCATATAAAATTTCCTTACTTAATAGGATTTTGCTTTATTAACTATTTTCCTCTGCTAGAATGTAAACTTCCTTGATGGACTCTAAACTCTTAGAATATAGTGGCTTCTGAAACACAGCAAATGCTCCGTAAGTCACTACTGAGTAAATGAATTATTACCAGTTCTTCATAATCAATCTGAGGGGAGGGCGAGGGGCTTTCCAGGGTAGTGTCACTGTTTATAACAAATAATACACTGAGCTACAACAATAAAGTTTCAGTGTAAGGCAGCAGAAGCATAGGTGTTCCTGCATATAAATAGGTACGCAGACTGGAATCAGGCAGCTGGGTCCACATATGAACTTTAAAGTCTACTGATATGGGATGGATACTTAATATAGGCCTCTGTAAAAAACTAAGAAGAGAGGATAATGTCTACTTATAATACTGATTGATTCATCTATCATTTATTAAAAACTTTTATAGTGCCAGGCACTATTCTAAGTATTTTATAAATACTAACTCGGTTACTCCTTATAACAAATCCATAAATACAACTAATTTCACTCTCACAAAAATGAAAGCTGAGGCATACAAACCTTATCTTTCTCAAAGGTACCTAGCCAGGAAAAAGTGAGGTTGAGGTTTATATTTGGCTATTTGATGATAACTTTATTTCTGCTTCACCTTCCTTGTGATGAAGATTGCATTAATCCATGCAAGTTAAATTGCTTACAATGCCACACATTTTTAAGGTTTCAAAACATATTTGCTCTTGCTAGTGCATTATTACTTGATAATAGTGTGACACACAGTAGTTTTATGCTTCAGATATGAGAATATCTATACTGCTCAATGTAAAAACATGCTAAACATGCTTTTCCTCAATGTAACTAAAAAACTTAGGTAACACTCAAGTACACTATTTATAGAAATGTTACCTGTTTATTAAAATAGCTTAAGTGGCAAAAAGGTTGTTCATACAATTTCATTGTTGCCTATACACATTTTTGTTTTTCCTGAATATACTATGTTTCTCAATTCAAATAATTTTTAAATAACAAGAAACTCTGCTCTGTCATTGCTGAAATGAGACACAGATGGCAAAAGTGAAAAAGTAAATCAATAGTTTAAGGACACAACATCATGCAATTATTCCGCCCCTGGCTTGTGGTTACTTACAGATGGGTGGAAGCTCATACTCCACTTCAAGAACCACTCTCTCCCCAACATTCTTCAGCAAGCTAATGATCTCATCATGGCGGAACTTGGCCAGGTTGATGCCATTCACGGCTTTGATATAGTCACCCACATCCAGTTGGTCACTTCTGCAATTGAGAAAATATCACTCTGGTGAACTCACTGTCTCTACAGGACAGCCTGAATCTATTTTGTATCTACCGCTTGTGAATAAACAAAATTCAACAGCAAATATAGTGAACTCCCTGCCTCTGGTCCCTAAGAGAAGAGGAACAGCAAGTGCAGATGAGACTCAGTGGATCCTGTCTGTTCACACTGCCTGTTACAGTTTAGATGTCCTGATCTGATTTTCTCCCTAATCTTTGCCTATTCTATTTTTAAAAGTGCCATAAAACAAAATAAAGAACATTAAGATGCTCAGTCCTGTAGCGTTTGAGGAGGGATCTAGATCCTACATATTCCAGCTCTTTTTCTTCTTATTCCCTTTCACTTTTGGTGTATGCTTTTGGATATTTTGCAACTTTCAATATCTTCACTGGAAAGCTGCCCAGGGCCAGGAAAAGGATCATAGTATTTGGCTATTTATTGTTTACATTTTCATTGTTATTATTTACTAATTAGCAAGACTAATAAAAAGTGCATTTATGAAAAATTATAAGGGAAGAACTGGATTTCAATAACATGCTCATCCTTCTCTATCACCATAATAGCATTTTGGATGCTCTAGGGCTTTTAGTCAGACTTGATCTGTAAACCAAGAGGAGGCAGCGACACCAATGATGTGAGTTAAAATTTGGGGATAAGGGGCTGGGCATAAAGCTCAATGGCATGGTGCCTGCTCTGGCAAGTGTAAGGTTGTGAATTTGATCCCAAGATGCCACCCCTCCCCCCACAAATAAAACAAATTTAGGATAAGGATCCCACTTCCTCCCAATAAGAAAAACTAATGTGTTTTTAAAGTAAATTCAGTTTCAATCCTCACTCCTAAGACAGTCTTCCTAATGGGCTCTTGTCTTCAGAACATGGTATCACTTTCCCTTAATCTGGACTGACACTCATGCCAGCCCAGCTACCCAGTGCTCCCTGTGAACCCCTGTATTCCCTTTTATTGCTATACAATGTCATTTTGCTTCCAGACTTTGTACTTTTTATGTCTTATCTCTCCTAATAGGTTATAAGTTCCTTTGGGGAAGGAACCTTTGGTTTTTATTACTATGAATAAGATACTAATGTCTTAAACAATGACTATTTGGAGATTTTTAATGCTCAATGTAACTGGCACAGTGCTATATTTAATTTTGGCATTAGTGCAACTGCCAATGGCATTTTTCTCCTTGTGTGGGTTAGATGTGAAGGAACTCAGGAGGCAGATGAAGATTTACATTATGGATGGCAATTAGTAGTATAAAATAAAGGAGGCTTGGGACGTGCAATGGGGGGCTGGTCTCTAAATACATAAAGAGGCAAAGCAGGGGCTTGGTTTCATGTCAGCCTCTTACATTACCTTCCTAATCACAGAGCTGTCAGCTCAGTTAAGCTTATAATTGTAAAAATAAAGAGATTTTGATTATCTAAACTAATCAGTATTTCGGATGATACATTGTAAGGGTTAAAATACATTGTAAGGGTTAAAATTTAACTTGGAATTATGTGGACAAAATATTGGTGTCTGGGATTTAACATTAATCTCATTTGTAATGAAACCAGAACATTCTGCCTCCTCTTTTGGTGGTAGGTTTGGAATATGTTTATAAAGGAAGCCCACCACTGCGTAACATCCAGGACATTTTGCCTTTGACAAAACCACAGTGACTTGTAGGACAAAATGAGAACTCCTAGCCCAAACTGTCATTTTATTTGGAAAACATGTCTTAGTCCTGGTGAAAAGGCAAGTTTCATAAGCAGAAAAGCAGAATTTTTACATAGAAACTTGGAGTTGGTTCTCCCATTCATCTTTGGCTAGCCATTTCCCTCTGGAGCAGATTGCCTGGACACACCATACTGGTCATCTATTTCACACCTAGAGGATCTGAGTGTCTTAATCCGCATGCAGCCCCTCTGCTGCTCAATGGCATACTGAAATCTAGTTCCATGTAAGGGTATTAAAATGAGAACCCCAGGAGAGCCTAGCCACTCCAGAGATGATGCAAAAATCTCTTGCGACTTCAGCAGAAGCTAGCAAAGCCACAAGGATGCTGGGACAGCTTGGGGAGCTGCTTCTGAAGCACGGCCCTCTGTGTTTCTGCTGCAAGGTGCTGCCCACCAGATGGCAGTTGTCATTTATTAATCAGTGACCTTTTCTGAGATAGTTTTAATTCTTGAATTAATTACACCCCTTACTCCTTTTCCTCTTTTTACCCTGAGAGGTAGTTACCTAGCAGCAATTCCTCCTTGCCGCAGGTTAGACACTCTCGGTTTGCCATCTTTATCAATTCCTCCTGACACTGTCAGACCCAGGGTGGTGCCTTCCTTCTTCATCAGTTCGACAATGGTGGAGCCCTTGAATTCCTCTGTAAAACAAAAGCATTTATCTTATTAGTTGAGAGTACAGTCACAGATGTAGTTTTGTGTGGTTAAGTGACTTCTCCTTGTATGGCTTCCTTCCTTGGTGTTTTGCTGAGCATCTTATAAGATGCTTCCAGGTAACACTGAAGCAGATATTCCATTGGAGGTCACCGAAAGGACATGGGTGAAGCTTTAGGCTGACAATAAATAGTCCAAACTGTCTCATGTACCAATGTCTTAAGTGCCAACTTATTCACCCTTTGCTTTATGCCATTCCCTCATGACTTTTTCTAATTTCTATTCTTGTAACTATTACTAAATAAATAGAACTATCACTAAATAAAGAGAATAACTGAAAGTTGTCAGGAAAAGAGAATCTAGAATAACAATACACACATAAATAGTGCAGAGGTGGACTCCATTTTCATGGTACATTTCATCTTAGGAAGTCGACTAACTATAGGAGTAAAAAGCTTTCCATACGTTCCAGCAAAATATTATTGACTCTACTTTTTTGTCTTTCAAAAACGAAGTGCAGTAGCTCATGTAACAACTATTATCACTTCTTTCAGAGACTATCACTGTACAGCAAGGCAGAACTGATCCTCAGAATTTGTAGGTAACATAAATTTCTAATTCATTAGGCAACAAAAGTTTATAATCTCACAGATCTTATGGGAATAATGTTTATATACCAGAAGGGAACACAAGTCTTTTGATAAAGTAAGTCACTATTTACCTACGTAGAGGCTAAATATGCTAAATACCACTTAGCATTTTCTAAGATGTTGCACCCTATTACTTACTTGTATACTTTCTTGGTGTGGATGGGGAAAGTGGATGGCTTTCCAGATTCTCCCCAAATTAGGGTTATGCACTTCAAGAACATCAAAGACACAGCTTTTAACATGTAGGAACAGACCTACTTTCTCAAAGTCAAATAATACTGAAAGATTACTCATATCTCTGCCCTTTCTCTAATTTCAAATGAGTTAAGTATAGTTTCAAAAATGTCCATGAGATTTTGTGGTTATTAAATTATCTCACTAGGCAATGAATACATCAAATCATCTTAGGGAAAGAAATGACCTCTCTTCTGATCTAGTGATAAGAACACAGCACTTGGGGAAAGGAAGTCAGGGTGGCAAACTACTAATTTTCTGGGGGAAGTAGAAAATGTCATTGTAGGCAGGGCTGGAGGACCGCCAAGCCCTGTGATTGTATATCCCAGCACACCCCTTCCAGAAACTTGCTTTTTCATGGTAGTCTCATGTACTGCCTTCACGAGTTGGTATCTTCCTTTATGGCAGAAGCAATGGAAGAGGCTGCGAATGTGTACAGTATAAGCTCTATTCATTATATTTTATATGAGACCATGTAAGAAATGAAATTCAGCAATAAAAATTCTTATCAAGTGCCTGGAAATAGGGGCCTTTTTATATCATTTATCAGAAGCATTTGTAACCAAGTCCATTACTGTGTGCATTTTCACCAGCGCCCCCTTAAAACAAAAACAAAACACAAAAAACTCTCATGCCTACTATAGAGACCTACATGAGCCCAATTACTACTTGAAGAGATGGCCTTACTAATGAACACTATTAAGTTTAGGTTAGTAGATGGCAAGGCATAAGTTATTTAAAAATTAATAATTAAAGCATATAAGATGAAATAATATATGGTAACTATTTGTATTACAGAAGTACAAAGTGCTTGACAAATTTGCCCCAAAGATTCTTTGGCCGTTAAATATGCAGTGTGATCCTGTATGTTATAAATCTTTACCTGTAGAGTTAGAACTACATTTTAAGATGGTCTGAGATTCACAAAGAAAGCAACTATGAAGCAGCAACAACAAACATGTGAGAAATAATTTTTGACTAATAAAACCTTTTTTTTCCTTCTCAAGTTTTTAAGGACATGCTTTGTGCATAATAAAATGGAATTCTACTATGTGAGAGTATAGTCTTATGGAAGGAGGATAGTGCTATTTTCTCTTGAAGCAACCTAGGCCCTTTCCAAGTTTTTGGCTGGATCTCAAAATCTAGAAAATTTCAATACTTTGAGTTTAGAGTATATAAATCCATTAGTCTCTTTAAACTGGTAATAGTCAAGTATATTCTTAATAAAAAATATTTCAAATTTCCCTAAGAGCTAGTTTTAATAATGAGAAAAGAAAGAAAATATTTATATATTTATCAAGCCAATACGTTATTTATTAAATGACTACTGTGTGCCAAACATTGAAACTCAAAGAAGGAAAACATTAAGGTCATGATGCTTGGGATGCTTACAGCCTAGTCAGAGAGGCAAAGTCCCAGATCACTTGGCACAGTGTGGGTTGGGAGGAAAGGTCCCAGAGGCAATACAGATGGAAGGTCTGAGGCTGTGCGTGCACAGCTATTACCATTTTGTTTTCGGACTAATCTGCTGTACTTATTGATCAGGATTAGCGGGAAGAAGCAGACCAAGAAGGAATACAAATTAGGCAAAGCTCAAAATTAAAGATAGAAAATTGTTGCCAGAAAATGTGCTGAACCACAGGAATTTTATCCGCCAACAATTATCTTTTGTCCTGAAGGAACCAACTACATCTGCTATAGGTGTTTCCAAAGAGGATGAGAGAAAGGTAGAGGTCTGGAGAGGGAAAAACCTGTTTCTGGAGTTTGCTTTTTTGATAACTTGCAATCCTTACTCAAGCAATCAATCATTTTATGTCTTTTTTGGTGTTTAATGTTTGCATAATGATCTGATGGCAAAGAGAAATGAAGACAGATGCATTCATTTGCATACGTCCACTTTTATATCAAGGCTTACTGAACAAAGACTGCAGTAAAACAGGGGATCTTGGGCTTGGGCAAGTCAGTATGTTCTGACAATTTATTTCTTTTGTGATTTAGTTTGCAAATATCCCTCTGTAAATGACGAGGACCTCACAGCAAACATATAGTACCTTCAAATTAGTGAACGGCACAGAGAACAGATGATGCCTGATTGGCAAAGAATGAGAAGGCTTTGGATTTGATGTTTTTCTTAATCATTATATTTAATTATCTTAGAAAAAAGAATTGCAGGTTTACATCTGTACCCCTGCTTACTCAGTGTAACCAACAAGCATCTCACCAGCATAATAAGATTTAGATGTTTGCTGTTTCTCTTTGGGTTTGTAATTCAAGCTTTTCAATTATTCAACTCAAGAAAGTTTTAAACAACAGTGGTGCTTGGTTAAAGCAAGAAAATTCATAAAAAAGTTTTATAAGCAAATTAAAAAATCAGTAACAAAGACAGTGCTCACATATCCCTTTATTTACCCAAACAAGTCAGAAGTTATCTTACAAGATCTCTCCATAGCCAAAAGAGAATCCCAAGAAAAATGTATAAGATCTATAGAAAAAAACTTAAATAACTTTGCTATTAAATTAGAATACATGGAAAGATATTTATTCATCAAAAAAAGTGTGTACTTCCTAGGTACCGGGCAACATTCTACACTCTGGAGGTACAGTCATAAACAGAACATAAAATCCTTGCCATCTAAGTAACAAGTACACAGCATAATCCAACATAAATAAATGTATTAACTCTCCCTAAACTCATCTATAAAGTTAATAATAGCGATAAAAGCATGAGTATGATGGTTTGGGTAGGAGATATATTTTGCATTACTAACAAAATGGAATACGGATTCTTCTGTGAAAAACTGTGTTGCCAAGGTACACTAGCTTGGTTCTTTAATATAGCTGTGAAGGATTGGAAGCATCCCAGAAAGAGTAATAAAATTGGGTCTGGATGCCACACTGCTAATCATGTCTTCCAACAAATCTTGTCAAAAGAACCAGACAGGCAGAAGCAGGGGCCTGGAGCAAGCAGCCTGGCAAAGCAAAGGCCTTGCTGTCTGCTTCCTAGGATGAGTCAGAATCCAGATCTACTTACTATATGAGAAAACAAAACAAATCAGTAAAGAAAAGATGTCACTGGCATAGGATATGCTGAGCCCACATCAGACCATCTTGTTGCTTTATAACATTGTTTTGCATAGAATAAAAGTGAAGTGTAATATTATTTTGTGCTGTGAACCTTTGGTGTCTAGACCCTCTTGCCTCGAGTCTTATTTTAGAAAGTATCTTTAGGAGTAGAAGGGAGCTACGCCTAACTTTTGGCAAGACTTCGACATTTCAGAGCTGAATGAACAGGAAAGTACAGTTGTAACAAGAGCTTCTGAAAGAGGTAGATGGGAATAAGGATGATTCCAACAGAGTGACAAAGGCTACGGACAGCACACAAAGAGCCATCTTGAAATCTGGGAGGGCCCTACTGTCCGGGCATGCAGCACCTTCGAGGATTCACTCCTGTACCAAGTGTTGAAGACAGACTCGATAGGCAAAGGGAGAGGGGAGGTGTCAAAGGCAGAGTATAATAAACGGTAACAGATCACATGTGTTCTGGACGTGCAAGTCTTTCAGTTCAGGTTTCATGTTCTCAATCTCAGCTGCCCACTGCAATCACCTGGGGAGCTTGTAAAACACTGATGCTGAGCCTGCCCTAGAGCATCTGAATCAGAATATACACCGATGGGATATTTTTATATTAAACTTTTGATTGCACTTTTAAATTTTGAGATAATTATAGATTCACAAGGCATTGTAAGAAATAAAAAGAGACATCCCCAGAATCCCTTACCTTGTTTTCCCCAATGGTAAAATCTTACAGAAGTATAATAGGATAGTAAACTATTATTGATATTGATGAAGCCAAGGCACTGAACACCTCCGTCACCACACAGATCGATACTAATTTTCGTAACTTTATTTCCTTCGGTTCTATTACTAGGCTTTTCTTATCCTTAGAAAACTCCTAGTTTGTTCTCTGTTTTAAAAATTTTGCTATTTCAAGAATGTTAAGTAAATGGAATCATAAAGCTGTCAAGGTTGACTTTTCATATTTAGCATCTTCCTTTAGTGAGCCATCCAAGTTGTTATAGCAATAGTGTGTTCCTTTTTATTGT